CTGCAGCCGGCGCGCGCGGGCACCAGCGCCGTCGCAAACCACGCTCCCTTCCTCCGGGGAGGGACGCACGAGCTAAGATGTTCGGGGTCAACCCTCAGCTAGACGTAGAGCGTCTCCTCGCTACTCCTGCCGAGCAAAGGAAAGAGCACCCTACCAGCGGCAGAGGACGGCTGCCCGGGCTCCAGCCCGCTGCGTCTCCTTGCCCCAGTTTCCCCGCGAGTCAGCACAGGCTGCCCTTTAAAAAAACGGTCACTTTATGTAGAGTGGATGCCCTTACAAGTCTCTGGAAAGGAAAAAAAATGTTTAACCGTCCATTTAGCAAAGGAAAAGGAGGGGGGGGAAAAAAAACACAACACAATTAAAAATTCTATGCTTTGTCATTACAAAAAAATAGCATAAAACAAGCTTTAACACATGTATAGTGCTGATTTCAAGCAGACATTGTTCTGACCTCGGGCAAAGGAAGTGACCTCTCACTGCTATAGAAAACCAAAGGAGTTAAGGTTTGGAAAAGGACAGGTCGCTGAAGGTTTGAAATGGGTTTTTTTCGTTTGTTTTTTTGTGTGTTTTTTTGTTTCTTTTTTTTTGTCTTTTTCCCCGTGTACGGTAGGCACCAGTACAGGCACTGCATGCGACGGAAGTGGGGAGGAAGGGGAACGGTCAATAGGCGTTATTTCTGTCCGCTGATGGACTGCGATATAGACCGGGGTGGGATCATATCTAAAAGGTATTCCCGCTGCCGGTCCGCCAAACTCGACGCTTTGTGGCCTCCAATCCCAGCATTCAGGTATGCAATGTTAACACCTAGAGAGGGGAGAGAAAAGCAGGTGGGGACTCCTCTAAGACGCGTGAAGCTGGACAAACTCCCCTGCACTACGCGACACAGGAGCAAAGGGCTGGGCTCGTCCCAGGCCTTCTCTCGCAGAGGGAGGAAGAGACAGACTCCTCCAGCAGCGGTGCTCGCTCTCTGCGCAAGCCAGCGTTGTGCCTGCCCCGTGCCAAGGGACAGGCACCCGTCTCCTGCCGTGCTGCAAAGGGACTCCAGCCCCTCATCCAGAAGGCCCTCCTCCAGCACTCATTTTAATTTCCCTCTCTCAGTTTCATCCTCTGTTCTCAGTTTGTGCCTCTGCCTTGTCTTTGGCAGCAGCTACCTTCCGGGTGGCTGGAGAGCACCCTCTTCCCCAGGGCCCTGGGCAGCCCGCGCTGAGCCCAACGGTGGCAGGGCGCAGGGTCTTCCTGCGGTGAGCTCAGGAGGGGCACCTTCACGACACCGTCCCCGCCTCAAGTTACGGGCGACAGCGCGGCTTGCTAGGAAGAGCCACCAGACCAGCGCACGCTCAGATGGATCAGTGTTGCGAAGGTACCATCGCCCTGCGCGTGAGGCTACGTTCAGAGGTCAGCCCCACAGCCCCCTATTACGAGCCCACCCGTTCGCGAGACCGAGCCCAGCGACTGTAAGCAGCAGCGTAGGATCCTCTCAGCTTTTACCTGGGCAACTGCACTTCAATCCGAATCCACTCTCCTTACGGAGGTCTGCACTGCCTTTGTGGTAGGGATGGGAAGTACCACGGTACAACCGGCCTGCGCTAGTGACACCAGCCCCTGAAACCAAGCCACTGTCTGGGCCGCACAGACTGACCTGCTCCACACTCTGTCTGGTCTAAGCCCCCATCCTCCCTCTGCTCTAGTGAGGGTCAGGTCGTTACCTGGCATACCAAGGAGACCACCCGCTACAGACAGCTGGGGTGCCTGGGCAAAGTTGGAAAGCATCGAGCGGGCAGAAGTGGGGATGCCACGCTGCAGAGTACTCTGGGGCTGTGGAGCCTGAGGAGGGAGAGAACAAACAAGGAGGAAGTGAACATATACCACTGTATACCACATCTGCTTTCCCTGGACCAGCAAGGACTCCAATCACACAGCCACAGTTGCAGAAACCAGATCAAACTACAGCTCCCACGTACAGGCAAGAGCTCATTTTCTTGGCAAGCGTCTAGAGTATAATTTTGAACTCTAACTCTGATGGATCAAAATTCAAGAAGGTACCAAGACGGCCTGGCAGTCAGCAGTACGCCTGGAAGCGGATGCTAACTGAGCTACAATGCAGGCTGCAGCCAGAGAGTGAAGAGTCAACCATGGCCTTTGCCCGGTATGCGGAAAACATTGTTTGCAGATCACTCTCAGAGATATGCAACCAACTAACACAGTCCTGGGCTGTGCTTCGGGCTCCCCCACCGGCTGGCCTGGGAGTAACAGAGGCAAGAATCTGAAGGCAGAAATAGGAGGCAAGGAGACAGCAGCAGCTACAGTCACTGTTAGCACTAAGAAATGAAGTAAATGGGTGGGAGAAGTGGAGACTGGGCTGCAAAAGGAGAGAGAGACATGAGGATGCCGTGCCCGTCAGCCTGGCCTGCAAAAGCACCCTGCCCAGCTAGTTGGCCACTGAAGAGCATCTAATACATTGTACAGACTAGTCCTAGTCAAAGGACTACGGTTAAAAGCAACCTTAAAGATCAGAGGAAAAACCAAAACGCCCAAGCTTCAAAGGGCAGTCAGACCCAAAACCTGTTCTCTCTTGAGAACAGAGAAGGCACTTCTCCCAGCAGCTTAGGATGCTCATGGCCTCCTTTCTCTACACAGAGCTCTCACTGTGTCCACCCAGACCTGAACCAGAAGAACACATTCGGCCTACAAACAGGGTGATTCATGCTCCCACTTGGTTGGGAGCCTTGTGTAGGAGCTATGAAAGAGTGAGAGCTGCTCACCTGCCGGAGCGTGTGGTGCCTCATGATGTTCTCTTGTTTGCTGACACTGGAGACAGCAGGAGCCGCAGTGGGAGACAAGCCTGTCTGCTGCTGTAGCCTCTGCTCGATTTCCTGAAAGAAACAGAAGCATTTTAGAGCTGCACGCACAGCCTGGTTAGACCTCGTCCCTCCGCTGTTAGAAACCACCCTGCCCCAGAAACGATCGTTTCTCCTCCACACCCACAGCCTCTCTGGCAAGATTCAAACTCCTGCAGTAGCAATGCAGGAAGCTGGAGATCATATATAGGTTCACGCCTGTACCAAACAGGTCAGAGCTGACCTCTCTGGTGCCACGAACAAACCGACAGCGCACACTGACAGAGATTATAGCGCAGCGAAGATTGTGGTGGGTGGGTTTGTGGGGGGGGGGGGGGTTGGGTCCCTCCCCCAGCCTGTCCTCTCCACGCTCTGCAATCACTGCTTTATTTGAAGTCTTGCTACCCACTTAAAACTCGATTGCTTTTCCAAGGTGTTACTGGAATTGTAGCCTTGCTACAGCCAACATGAACAGCTTTTTATCTCTGCACCCACTTGCTACAAACAGCCCAAAGATAATGACTCTTCTTACTCCAAAACGGGCCTGTCCAATTTGTCAGTCAGATTCCGCTTCACATTTAGTCTTCACAGCTCACAAATGATGATTCTGGTTTATTCCTGTGATATTCCCAGGGCCTCTAAACACCTTCTCCAACACCACTTTATCACAGGAATTTAGAAAATCCCCCAATTTTACAGATAAGCCAACAGGCAGCAAGCGGTTAAGTGACTTCCTGAGAGTTCCAGGAAGTCCGTGGCAAAACCGGGAACAGAAGCCAGCTGTCCTGACTCAGTTTTCAACCCACTCTGCCTCCTACTGCTGTCAATGGAACAAGTTACAAAGCCAGGGGGGAAACCATACCACACGCGCAAAGGGAAAGGAGCAGCCGCTCTTGCAACACCCCACTCATCGCAGGAGCGAGCGGTGCTGGACAGTTAGCACCAGCAGTGCACCCTGTTTGTCACAAGCCTTATGTGCTGGACTGAGGCTGGGCAAGCCTTATGGACTGAGGCTGGGCATCCCAGTGGAGAAGTGAAACTCCCCAAGCCAACACAAGAGAAACCCCAATCACCACGACTGTGCAGCTGGTGGAAGGGCTGTGTACTTGCCTGCTCCTGCTGCAAAGCTTTCACAAAGGCGTTCTTCAGCCGGTTGGTGTGCTCTGCCTTCAGTGCCTTCTTCTGATTGGAAGTCATGCATTGCTCACACAGGATCTTCCCATTTTTCTCCTGCTTCCAGTGAGGGGTGAAGTCGGTGCGGCACTGAGCACAGACAAAGGGCTCCACACGCAGGAGGGACGCACAGCTTTTCCCTGAAAGTCACCATGAAGAGGAGTTACATGGGAAAGCAGGACAGCCCTTCTCTCTCACGGCACCTCCTCCCACCTCACGCACAACAGCAGCAGGCCACCGTGTGCACCGCCAGCACAGCACAGGAGGTCCCAGCACTCTTGGTAAACGACGTGCCAAGATGGAGAGGGGAACGAACTCTACAGCCAAGCTGAAGGCCAACACGTAAACGGATTCTCTCAGGACAGCCTCAATTCAGCATCCAAACTCACTGCGGGCAAGAGCTGGACTAACAGAGCTCAGCGTCTACAGAGAGAGTCCAACACCCGGGACAGGACGACCCCAGGGCGCAGCAAAGGCTGCGGACCAACTAGGTGGGGAGCAGCTCTACAAAAAAGGAGCTGGAGCTCCTGCTAGTCAAGTCGAACACAGGTCTGCGGTGCGCGCCGGCAGCAGCGACGACTAAACACATACTGGGCTGTATCAGCAAGAGAGCACCAAAGGGTTAAAGGAAGAAGTTATTCCCCTCTACTCAGCCCTTCCGGGGCTGCATTTGGGGTGCCGTGTCCAGATTTGCACTCCCCAGTACAAGAGGGATGTTAACAAACTGGGGAGAGGACACCGGACGGCCACAGGGATGGCCAGAAAGCCAGAGCACATAACATACAAGGAGAGGCTGACAGGGTTCGTCTAGCCCAGAGAAGAGAAGGCTACGGGGAGACGCTAACCGGGGTCTTCTGCAAGGTCTAGAGAAGACAGAGCCAGGCTCTTCTCAGAGACGTGCAGTGAAAGGACACGAGGCAGCAGTCGCAAGCTGAAGCAAGGGAAATTCCAACTGGATGCAAGAAAAACTACTATTCACAAAGCATGGTTAGACACCGAGATGGGGGGCAGGAGGGAGAGCAGGCCCTCAGCACCCTGCTCTTCCTTTGAAGATGGCCCTGCTTTAAACAGGGGATTGCACTAGAGACCTCCCGAGGTCCCTTCACCTCAATTATTCTCTGCTGGAATAACCAGGGAAAGTTTTTTTTGCGTGCCACCCTGGGTGGGATCTTACCCCACCAATGAAGCAGCAAGGTGCAAGCCGGTGGGGGTTTCCAAGGACTAAAACCTCCAAAATCCAGCTGAGAGCTGCTAGCGCTGCGGCAGCACTTTGGCAGCGGTATCAGCAGGCACGGCGCAGCCCTGGCACGGGAAATCTCCCTCGGGGACCGTTGTAAGGGGACTCCTGTCCGGAGCACCCCGCAAGCCTCTCCCCGGCTGCCCCTTCGCCTCCCAGGCGACAGCTCCTCCACAAACCTCTCCCCTCCCACTTCTGCAGGGGACGTTGCCCCCAAAATTTACATAACCGCGTTTCTGCAACTCGGCCACCGGCTACTCTTCCCGTTCCCATGGCAACGGCCGCAGCGCCCGCGCCAGGGCGAGGTGCTTTGCAAGCCGCCGTTGCAGGAGGCGGCTCTGCGGGGGGCCGGCGGGCTGCCGCGGGCCC